GCTCTATTGAATAGAGCTCGCTTGTCGCTGTGCGTTTGATTTGCTGCTTCACTTAAGCAAGCATAGTTTGTGTTACGGGCGTTTGAATCGGCGTGTAAAAGTTCCGCTCTGGCTGAGGTTCAATGCTTGTTAATGCCATATTTTTCCAATATTTGAATATTTTTCAAAATATCTTTTTCACTATCTATCTAGTTCTAGACGATCCCTAGATCAAACAACAGCTAAAATTACCCTATAACTTTATTCTTTGTAAGTAAATACGGACCACCTGGAACTACATACAGGAGATAATTACTTAAGTTCGTGCGTATAACATATTTTAAAGCTTATGTTTAGCATAACATTTTTAGAATTATAATTGTGAAATAATTTTTGCCTTTCATCAGGCAGAATTCTCAACCACAATTTTTGTTTTAAAATTAGAACTTTCATCTCCGATCCACTAATTATCCTAGGTACTATTCTGGATGACATTATTAATAAACCATCGCTAAGCTCTAATTCCAGGCTAATCACGGAGCCGCAGCAGGTAAAGCCAGTCCATCAATCATTTTCAATTTGCAAACGCCATTTTAGATATCATTAGTCATTAGCTCATCAGTCACTATCGACTGCGCTCAAATTGGACACACCTGGAATGGTACTTTTGATCAACCTTGAATAATGGGTTCCTCTGGAATAATCCTACTAATATTATAAATGCGAAAGTTTGGATGTCTGGATGTTTGTTACTCTTTCACGCAAAAACTACTGAGCGGATTTTGATGAAACTGTATATTATTTATATTATTGATGTCCAAATAAATAATGAATTATTACGAAAATTACTCTACTATATTTTTACATCTGTAAACTGGGGCAAGCCCCGAAATGGATGCGTTCAATCAAACAGGTGCAGATGCATACGACGCGAGCAATTCGTTCCAAAATAATTCGTTTGCCATGTGGAAAAGATTAAAGTAGATTCTTTCTAAAATTTTATTCTACTTAACACCACCACACTACATATCACAAATAAAAATAAAAATAACTTCTTCGTCAGTATGAAGATGCTATTTCACCGATCAGTGATTGCAAAATTTAATTCCGTTGTGTAAAGATTTCGTGTATTTTTTTCGGACCCGTACAATGTGTTGATGCCAAATAAAACGTATAGTGAAATGGAACACAATATTATTACGTTAAAGAGTGTTTCCTCTTAATGGCTACTTTTTAAACTGCTGTCAAACTTTTTTTTTTAATTTTCAAGTAACAATTTTGTATACGCAATATAGCGTTTGAACCATCAACTGCTTTTACTCATCATCTACAACTGAAAATGTTGTTTTTGTTACACACCAGGAGCATTCGGCTGTAATGCACCACTCCGAATTTCGAGGTTGGCCATTACATTGCAAATTGTGGGACAGCTAAACGTATTCGCTTTTGCATACCTGCCCACGAGCATTCGCTGTGACCTAATTTACTGATACAATGCTCGAGTCATTACAAGTGAATGCTGTAATGCTCTTCTAAACGTTGTCTCTAATTCAATGCTCCGTGAGCATATCATTACACATGAGTACTTCGGCAAGTGAACAAAATGTTTGTTTTTCATTAGCACTAAATAGATCCCACATGGTGGAAGAATGCTCGTTCGTTCGTTTCAGCCAAATGACGTCCACTGCTGGACAAAGGCCTCCTCCAAGGTTTTCCACAATGCACGGTCCTGCGCTGCCCGCATCCAGGCTCTTCCCGCGACCTTTACCAGATCGTCGGTCCACCTAGTAGGAAATCGCCACTCGAGAACTTTTCTGCCCCAACGGCCATCGTCTCTACGATTACGATTATATCTGTATTAATTTACGTCATAATATTGATTGTTAGTTTGGTTAGTTCATAATTTGAAACAATTTCATCATCATCATTTCAGCCGTAGGACATCCACTGCTAACCATAGGAATGTCCCAATGATTTCCACATCGTCGATTTGGTAGCGGCCTGCATCTAGCGCCTGAAAAAAAAATAGGTTTCTTGATCTGTCGAGCAATAATTAATCTATCTGCCATCAGGATTATGAACTCTATTAATACAACCCACACGACACATCATCATCATCACATTTTCAGCCACAAGACATCAACTGCAGAATGAACTTAAGCTTCCCCCAATAATTTCCATACCGCGCGGTTGTTAGCGGCCTGCATCTAGCGCTTTCCTGCTACCTACCTACCTTTATAAGATCGTCGGTCCACCTTGTGGGTGGACGTCTCACGCTGCGTTTTCCGGTACGCGGCCTCTACTCCAAAGATCTCCACTCTAAACTGTTAACTGAAATTGGACAATTATTAAAACTGAATTATTTTATTCATAAAAAAGCACTTACGTTTGAAACCGCAACAAAAGTGTTTACCAATAACCCTGGGAAAAACAAGTTGTTTTTACGGTGAAATTAGGCACACAATTTGCTTTGCCAATTCATCATAAACGCTGACCGGGCCTTCCTTCAAAACAATTTGTTTATGAAGTTTATTTTCACTGTCAATATTGTGGGAGCGAAAATATCCGGATCTCAGTAGAGAGTATGTAAATAAAAAGGACACTGTTTTTATTGTACCAAAAAGTACTAAATAAACTTTATTATTTCATTTGTTATTATTTTTATTAGAATTTCATTTCTGTAACAAGCAGAGTCGATTTTCACAACCACGAGACAGGCAGGCAGCAGATTTTTTTCATTATCCTTCTTTTATTAATAGAATACTATAATACCCGTGTTTAAATTTCGATTCACACGGTTATCCGTCTGCTCGCTTGCCTCCTTTGACATAAAAAAAAAACGTATCAGTGAAGTCACAGTTCTGACACAGTACTTACCGGCACAGTGCGAAATATTCAGTCATAAATTCTCTATGAGTGCCTGTCAGTGTCAGTGACTACACAACAGTGCTCTCAATATCAGTTGTCAGTGCAAATACAGGAAATCACGGACATAATAACTGATGTGTACTGAGTAGGTACTGAAAAGTGAATTGAATAACTGACCCAACTGTAGCACTAACACTGAACGAACACGTGGACGGAACTTTGGCTTCACTAATATGTGTGAATCGACCTTAAACCTATTTTTTATACCTAACGTAAGTGCGCCTATTAACGACCCCCCAAAATTTGTATCCTATTACCGCCCTATTTTTCTTTCTTTCATAAAAGACATAATAACAGGTTCCAGAAAACACGTTACTTAAAAAATATCTAGATATGTTTATTGACTATCAAAACGATTAAAGTTTGTGTTCGTAAATAACCAGTAAACGGAGTTATTTCACATTAAATGGGACGCGCCCGCAACGGACGCACTTTTCATACTGACGCGCTCCCAGCTACTTAAGGTGCACCTTGTTATTAATTAGCGATTTTAACACATTTAAAATGAGTATACCAACATGTTTTTGCATAACAATATTAATTCGTACTTTAGTTTCCTTAATAAACCCTCAATATAGCCCTCTCGCTGTATTTATGTGGCTTAAATACAATTTTAAATAAGGGCGGTAATAGAAACACTTTTCATAATTTGGTTTCTAATACCGACCCATGGCGTTGTNAAAAAAAAAACAAATTTAACTAAAACTAAAAGCAAAACAAATTTAACTTGAAAAAATCAAGTGGTTCCCGAGCCTATGAGCGGGAATCGAACCCGTGCCTCTTGGAATATACCCAATTGAAGAGCAATATTCTTAGCGGTCGGTAATAGAAACAGAAAAAACGTTAATAGAAACACACCTCGTCTATAGGTCGGTAATAGAAACAACTGCTTATTCAGATTAAATTGCTATTTATTAATTATTGTGTGATTGAATACTCATTGTTACTACTTGAATTCAAAGATTACTTCATCATTGTTATAAATAAATTAAAGTGTCTTTTCTATCACCACGTCTTATATCTAATTTTCTAACGTTTATCCGAAGTCAGCTTAAACTGGCGGTAATAGGCGCATTTACGTTAGTCTTTCCTTGAAATTAAGCCCCAGAAGCCCCAATTCTAGTCTAACTCTTTAACCTTTTATAACAATGGCTTGCTCACTTGACTCGTTCAATTGAAACCTTGAAGTATAACTGAAATAAAGTAAAAGGCCATTAAAAGAAACAAACGAATTTCTTCGAACATTTTTTATTTATTTTCTAATTACGACTAGAGGAAATAATCTTTGGAGTACTGCGGAATAAATTTCGTAAAGTTTAATTAACATGAAAAGGTGAAGTTTAGTTAGCTTTTGATTTATTTATTCACATGAAAAATGTATTTCTTTTTGGATTCGTAACATCTGTTGGTAATGTCTTTGGTGCTTAAATTAATGAGATTAATTAATAAAGATATTTCATATATTACTTAATAAATCCTCTTGTATTACTTTTTTTACAAATATACAAACTTAAAATATACGCTTTGAAATAAGTACAATAATTCTTAATTATACGTATCAGTGTGCTTACCATGAGTTTGCGTTAGGTGTGCTCGCTAGCAAATGCGTCAAAAAATTATAATATGAAGACTTCGATTCTTGGAAGTAGCCAGTAGGGGCGCTCTAAAATTTGTGTCATTTTTTACGCAGTCGCTAGCGAGCACACCTAACGTAAACTCAAGGTAAACATACTGTTGTCTTTTTCTTTACTTAATAAACAAGTTAACATTTAGTTTTCTTGCTTGCAGGTAGTTGACGTGTCTAATTGGATCCTGATCGCCCAGTCAGTGTCAAAGGAAGGTATGTTGTAGAAAATTCTAGTATTGCATCGTATTTTTACATACGACATTGTGACATAAAATCCACTACATCTTATTACCATTATCTAATCCGGTTCAAAGCTTTTTTTTATCTATAATATTTTTTGAATACAGGCATTTATAAAAAACTTAAATGATTGAGAAAATTTCAACTTTTACACATTTTGCTATTTAAACTTATTATCCAACAATTACTATTAGATCAAGTATTTTTATACAAACGTCCTCGTAAGGTAAAAATCTTTCAATATGAAAATATATTAATTGCTATAGTAGAAAAAATAATATTCTTTATACAACGAAACCTAATTCAGTCTATGTTTTTGCCAAATATCACGTTTCTTGTAGCCGTAAAAAACAGAGTAACAGTGAAATAGTAACTAATATTTCTGAGCTTTTCGTTGAATAACCTGAAACAAAAATAGAGGCAATTAGTAAATGTTTAGTAGTAATAAAATATCTACGTTTTTTGTAGACAAATAATATGGTATTTAGACATTTCTGTTAATCTCATGGGAAGCATGATTGTGTTACGAGTGTGTTTACTACAATAGTCCAGCGGCGGCAGGGTTCGAACCCGCGCTCCTTGGATCTCGATTTGGCCAGTCCGACACCACTATTGCCGCTACAAGTATGTTGGCTACTGTATAATAATTTATTTTTTATAAATAAGTGAAATTAAGACATTTCGACACCTGCAAGGAAAAACATCGTAACTCAGTTTTGGGCATTTTTCAGGAGAGTGTGACAAAGTTTTGAACAATTCTCACTTAGTCATTTTAAATCCTAAAGCCAATCTGTCTTGATAAAATACTAAGTTATTATTCGGATACCTAGACTACCCTATGATTAAAATTTAAAATGTTTATAATAACGAAATCCTTACCGCTGTCTGGTTCTTGTTGCGTTTGCGCAGAATTTGACTCCGTTGTAGGAGGTGGATCTGCAACGAAAAATAAATTTTAATTTGACTCAATTTAACACACATGTTTCTTTATCAGACAAATAACGAACGGCCTTCACTAGCTGGGTTTTTATTGGCAGTCAAGCTGGCAATAGTGGCCACACAAGAGTTGCAGCAGTAATATGAAAGATCTCGTATATGCAAAAATCGTAATATCTACGTTTTATTACTAGTTTATTACCTCTATAGAAGATATCCCTCTTTCTACTGAAGTAGTTTGCAAGAGGAACCTGCATGTCGCATAGAATCTCCACGGTTGGAGGTAGAGCGTCGATTCTGACCACTGCACTTGTCAATGCAGTGTAGCGTTCGTTGACAACCTTGATTGATGATTTGGCGTTTAGTGGCCTGTGAACAATAAACAAGATTAAGTAGAATACCTAATAATTAGGTTTGTAGTATGAGCGTGGCATAGCGTAGCATCGGCGTCATGTTGACAAAGGATAAAGTATTTCAAGTATGTCAAATTTACCACAATATTTTAATTGATTAGAAAATTGAATTGAACTCGTGGAACCCTAAGCCTAGGTGCAGACCACCAACTTTTAGTTAGCCAATAGTTGGACCCGATTTTAATTTGTATGAAGAATCGACCGATACCAAATCGGTGTAATATGCGCACTTTCATACATCTCCATACGGATTAACAGCCCGACCCAATTATCGGCCAGCTAAAAATCGATGGTCTGCGCCTAGGCTAGTTGTCGCATGAAACAGCGGTAAAATTGATTTTTATTGTGTCTCGATTCACTATGGTAGGTACTTGAGGGGTATACATATAAAATGAAATGATTCATATAATTTCCAGACCTAAAGGAAATTGTCTACAATAATTAATCATATTCTCATTCACTACAAATCATTAGATACTGGATGTTCGTCAAGATTTTCTAAACTGCATTGTGAACAAAAAGTTTGTGATTATCTGGATAACAAGCTATTAATTTTATCTTAACGGCAAAGAATTACACGCAAACGTTTAAGTCATAATATCTTTTAATAACATCGCAAATTCCACGTGAAAAAATACGCGTGCTTTGTGCGGAATGTGGCATTTTAAATGTATTTGTAATTTTGTAATAGTTGCGATTTTGTAACAATCTTGTACAAATAGATTGATGTACTGTCGACATTTTTTCCACGAGAAGATCATACTTTAATAAATATAAGAATACTAGCTTTTGCCCGCGGCTTCACCCGCGTGAAATTTAGTTTGTCATAGATCGTCATAAATTATAGCCTATATGTTATTCTGGGTTATAAACAATCATACTGTAAAGTTTCATGAAAATCCGTTCAGTAGTTTTTGCGTGAAAGAGTAACATCACTGCCTTAAACTTCAATTCTTACGTGAAAGTACAATAATGTCTTTTACACATTACTGTAATTTTAATACCTCTAAATCCACCTTTTATTCAGTTGTAGAAATATTCAAATAAGCCTTAGAAAAAAATGCTTGTTCCCATAGTATGGACTAAGCGCCGCGTTGCTCTCAGCTTAGCCGTGCTCATACATAGGAATGCCTGAAATTTTTCAGCCGTTAGCGGCTGGACTATAAAAGGAAAAATTTAACTGCCTACGCAAAATGGTACGGGCAAATATGTGATATGGGAGTTCCAGAGAATACTGCGGGGTCAGGACTAGGTTTTATTATGTCGGACAAATTAATCTCGGCGTGGGGGATATTCTGGAGACACATTTAATTCAGCCTCTGGCCATAGCCATTTGGGGCTAGTTTTATTTCTTTATGAGAATTTTGATATGTTGATGAAATGGCTCACGCTTTATTGACGAATCTAAGTATTTAAAAACGGTTTTCAATAATATACCTACTTGCTTATTAAATTTGTAAAATATTGTTCCTTGTGCTAAATATGCTTGTGTTGTGAATGGGCTCACCACAATAGCACAGCGCAGGGTTTAAACTAGCGTTCTTCGGATCTCGAGTCGGTCCATCACCTTCACCGCTGGCCTATTTGTCGCCTCAAATGAAATGCTCATCATATTTTTTCCTGTTCAAACAAATCATTAAGACATCATGGCACCCTTTAGTCAGCCATCAAGTTAAAACACAACACTCCATATTAATGTGTGTGTTACTTGTACTAAAAAAATATTACAATGTAGGAAAATAAAACAAATTCTAACAGTCCTCAGTTGACTTTCAGTTAACCCCTTTCCCACCAAGTTCAATAAATCGGTTTCCAATTACACTCCATCGATATTGTAATCAATACAACATCAACAATGTCCGATATTACACCGAATAAGCGGAATGCCAGCGACAAACTAACTGCGTCGACGTTTCCGAAAATGTCCAGGTTGTTAACCAACTTTCGGCAGCATCCGAATTATGTAGACCCAAACTGTAAGGTAATGGGAACGTACGGGACGATGTTTTGAACGAGCCGGTCAAGGAATCGATAGTTTGTTAAATTATTTTAATATGACAATCGACAGATACCTACATATTTTTGTTGCAAAATAATATCATTTACAACTTAGTGATGAGATGTATCATCTTGATAAAATTGTTAAAGAAATAGTAGGTAGTTCAAATAGCTGTGTTCAATATTGCGCAGACGAAATCATATCACGTTAATCACCGTGATGACTTATTTCATTGTAATACAGACTATTTTGCGACAAAAAGGTATCATTCAAGTCTGATGTATGGTTGTCGACTGTATATTCACGTTTTGGTATAATCAACTTTGACATTGGTTCAAACTATTTTATAGTTTCCTTTATAATTTTCCGATTTTTTGTTGCTCTATTTGGCTCATGTATTTTGATTGTCGATGACATCAGTCATTGATCTAGATTTAGGATGGATCTACATCACTATTGTGTAGTAACAAACGTCACCATAGTTTTCCTGTCAATAGCCTATTGTATTAACCCTTCTGTCCTATCCTACATTATACTATATTCCCACATTTGTTCCACCCCATAATGAATGCGGAAGTGTGCGTCCGTGACACACCTCAGCGACAAGTCACCGACATTCGAATCAAATTGACGCGATGTGTGAAAAAGCACGGTTGGCGGCACTCGATATTTTTTGGGGAAATCGTGTGAAAAAAATGGTAATGCGGCGAGCGGGAACGGTTGATATTGATCGCGATTATTGTCTGATAATGTGAGCATTGATTTACAACTTGGTTAACTGGGAAATATGTTGATGTATTCGAGTTTCTGTTTTTGTTTTTATTGTTGCGTCGGTTATCTGTTTGATTTATTTTCGTTTCATTTTATTAATGACTGGTTACAAGACATTGGACATAATAACAGTTTATTTGGATCATTGTTATGCTTGTTATATGTACGTCCAATAACACCTCCATAATTATTGATAAGGTAGGCACTTATAACATATAGGTTTATATAATGTGGTTACTGGTTAGTAAATTATTTTGAGTTTTTAGAATTTAGTCCGCCTATTTCACATCTTTGATAACTGGAGTAACTAATGTAGCAAATAAATCAGATTCTTAGTTTGGCAGATGAGTTATTAAAAACATATTTAACACTTTATAATTTAAAAGCGGTTTTAAACGCAATAGATTCCCATGTGTTTTCACTTTAAGTACGTTTCAGTGAGTGTTTGGTAATATTCAAGACTCGATCCTGAGTTCTGAAGTTCCGGCTGTCCGGTAATCGAACTGTTCCGGTATTTATTACGTTATAAATAACCGTTTTCAGCGACGAACTAAGTTTGTTAGTAACTTTAGTACTATGAGATGGTTGCAATCGTGTTTACATACGTTAAATTTAAAGTGCTTCATCGCATCGATGAAGTTATTGGTCTCTGTGGACTAGTTATAGATACAATTCCGACATAAATAAGTGATGATAAATGAACTACTAGAACGTACCCATTTAAGATCCGTACAATTCACCGCAATAACGATGATAGAAAACCAAATTACTGTCGTTTTTATTACTTTTTCTATACGAGAACTTTCCTTGAAGTTCCCAAAAACTTCCCTGAAAGCTAAAAAAGTACTCAGGGTTTCAATATTTGACCAATATGAAATTTCACCCCGTGCGAATTTCAGACAGGTTGGCAGTGTGATAACTAAAACTATTTCTCACGCGATTTTCTACTCGATTGAATTTAATATCGATATTATAACCGGTATCGAGTTACATCACTAAGCTAATTCGGCACGACAACGTAACTCAAGCCTTGTGTGACATTTAACATGAATACTCCCCACTCGAACTACGTTCTTCGGTGAATGGTTTACATTTATCGATAATTTGTATGGCATGTAATCGAGATATTAGATATCTGATATGTATAGGATGTTAAATGGGTCACATTCCCTAGTATACATATGATTAGGCAGCTTATGGCAAAATTGATGAATCAATATCTTACCATTCAAAAATGGCTCGATGCACAAACGACTCTACCAAATAGCTTAATGATTGGCTTAGGCGACAATCATAGTCCTAAGATGTCAGTATCGGAAGAATCGAAATCAGGGTGAACGCGGGTTTAAGCCCTGTCGTCTGCTGGACTATTGGGGTGAACTTATTCGTAACAAGCATATTTAGCTTACCACGAGGGGTTAACGAGATTTTTTTATTGTAGAAATTATTCAAAAAGTGTCTAAGTTTGTTACGTCTTTTTAAAGATTTATCACGTATAGAGTCAGCGTCAAATTAGCCAAAAAGTTCGCAACACGTCTTTGGTACAATTGGAATAAGGTTGTGTTGTCTTTTTGGCCACTTTAGGTGTCAAAAACCATTTGATGCTGACTTTACTACGCTTCGCTTACAAACTCACCTGTTCCCAGCCAATATCACGAGCTCTGGTTTTGGATAAACGCCTTCCACCGAGCAAATGATGTTCAGGAAGCCATCTTCTAACCTATCCTGGATCATATCAAATCTTCTTTCTGGGACTGCAACAAAGAAATATAACATTAATTGAATTCCATTTTTTTTAATGCTAGACAAGGCAGGTTTTTGACCTATTGATATTTTTATCAGTACGTAGACGTTTTTCAGGGCACTTATACACGTCCCAAATATAGCATGCCCAACCACCACTTCGGGAAAATAATCAAAGAAGTGGCGAAATTATAATCTGAACTACGTATTAGGACGTTTTCAATTTAGACGTTTCGTGCCGAACATTTGCCCCGCGCTTGCCGTTCGTTTGCAAGACCGCACAAAGTAGATTGTATGACAATTGCGTCAGAATAAAATTGAGAATTACCAATATTTCGTGTGAGGTCTTGCAAACGCAATGCAAATGTCAACATCTAAATTGAAAGCGCCCTTAGAAACTGTAAATTTTTAACTAATAAAGCCTTACTTCATACCGAGCTCCTCGTGTATCTGGTGATGTTCGTAAACGTATTTTTGATTGCAAAGTAATGTCACGTAGACTGAGACAGTTGACTCACTATTAAGTAGAATGCTACAAAGATACCGTAAAAATTAGTTATTGTTCAAATGATATGCTTGAATAGATTTGAAAAACAAAAGTACAAAAATAAAGAAGCTATTATATGCCTAATGTACTACCAGATATTAACCTCTTAAGTGCCACAAAACACAAGCCACTAATACGCAATATGGCCGCCATATACTTGCAGAGGGAAGCTAAGTTGGAACTAATCGCGCATTACCGGGACACGCCACAGAAACAAAGCAAGGATGGAGGCTAATGGAATACAAATGGCCGTATTGCTTATAATACGATAAAATCCATCAATATTTGAAGCTATGTTTGGGATGTAGAGATACTAGAAGGGACTTTTGGCTGTCTCTACTCGTATGGGCTAGAACTTATCCAAACAATCTTTACTATTTTCTGCAATAACTTCGTCTAAATTTATGTACTGCCTCCTGCCTGACTCTCTCTGTCTTATTGCCAATATGAATTCTCTGTCAGTATACTCTCTCTCGTTGACTAGTAGAAAATGTAACCACAGAGACTGGTAAAGATTTCCCATTGGTATTAAGGCAGCCGTTTGTACAACGGAACGAATAGCGTGTGATAAAGTACTAATAACTTATGTTTTAAGTACAAAATTTTATCTCATACAATTAAAAGAACGTCGAGTACCAGTGATTCAGAAAAACATACACTTTTTTAAGTTCAGTTAAGTTTGCAATTAAATATTTTTACTAATAGTCATGAATGTTTTAGTATTCTCTTCAATATTTCCTTTGCCCAGGATCTTTGAAAAAAAGTGGCAATAAATTACCACATCCAGCGCCCAGACAGGCCCCTACATCTTCGTTAAAACAATATAGTATCCATTACAGTTTGCGTGATCGTGAACTGTTGAATGTACCTAAATATACTTTGCCCGGGCCAAAATACTGCAATTTGATGACATCTAAATTACATCGGCTTTATGCAATGTCTGGGCACTAAACATTTTATTGTCAGCTCCGGTATATTTTATAATCCGATAAAAGATGACACAGTATAGGTGAATGCAGTAAGGTAGCTCTACTAAGCATACTTAATAGATGTCATAGGCATGGAGAGCGATTTTTACGCATAAAAAGGCAGGTAGTATTTGACCGCAATCGCATCTGGAACATATTATTATCTGCCCTGTAAGTGCCTATTCACTCTCGCCTTATAGCCTCTCAAATACTTTATTAAGCAATTAGTAAATATTTTGTATCCTCTTAATTACAAAATTGATAATATTTTTTATTGGAATAGTAAGTAACTAATTGAAATCACTTGAGGCGTAAACAGTTATCTGTTAGTTATATTCATTTACAAAAGTTACGTAATAAATAAACGAATGACTCTACTGATATTAGTAAGCTCTTGTCGCCAAAGATAAATATATTTTTTTTACATAGAAAATGTCTATGATTGAAGGATTTCATTGCGTAAGACTGTACTGTAAGAGACTTATACGTAGAACTTTAACATTTTTATTTATATCATTGGCATTATACCTGGCTACCGCCGTACCTATGAAATAATCCAAAACTTGATAGTATTTTTAGGTAGCCAAAAGAGGGTTACTATGAATTTCATATTCAATGAAATAATACGGTGCCATGTGGTGCCATTAAGCACTATTATATTACACTATAAATAATTACCTAAACAGCGATTAATTTAATAATATTGGTTTAATGAAATGAACGTGAAATACCTTAACTTTACTCGAGCTATCCAAATATTTTTACCTGTCTGATTCTGCTAGCTGTACAAATATTTCTAACCTTTATTGCCGGCAGCATAATGCCAAACTTACTTTTGCCGTTCGCTGTACAAACAGTACATCAAGTTGGCAAAGCAATTTCCGCAGTGAGGTTCCACAAAGCGCGGCTGCGCTAGCGATTCTGGTTCTGAACGTTATTGCTCGAATTGTGTGCTGTTGTAAAATTATAAGGAATGTTTGTCTGAAAGTTTGCTGCTTGAGCAGTTAGCCAGATGTAAGGAATATCCAAGCAATTTGTTTTTTAAACACAAGGGGAAAGATCTTGGGTTGAATCTCACCAAATAGAAAGTGATGATTACAAAATATAATTTGCCATCACTTTAATTTCATCGTTTGGTACGTTACGTTGATCTCTATACTCTCCACAGAGTATGTTGAAAAAATCTTCCATCCCTCTCAAGTGTAATAGGATGCTAGTATGAGTGTCATACCGCATCCCTACACAAACATTGAAAAGTAGCAATGAGCCTTCATTGCCTACTTTTTTTTTAAGGGACGCGCGCTGGTAGCTTGAAGAGCTTTTCCAGCTTCACCGGGCAGAGTGGCGAGTACAGAAGGTACTCTAGCCGTTTGGCGATCGTCGGTGCGCATCGATCGCCAAACATTGCCTAATCCAGTAGGGCTATCGTTTTTATACTTACCTAACAGTTGGCGTCACTGGCAAGTGACAGGACCTTACTCTAGTGGCGCCCCTGGTGAGTACGAATGCGATAGTTCTCCTACCGCTTCAAGATTCTCCAGTTGGCGCTACTGTCTTAGCCACTAGCGAGTTACACTACACTACTCTACATTGGCGCTGATTGGTGAGCGCTAAAACGAAAGTCGTCATTGGCCTTTATCGAACAACAAGCGGTCGCCCGCTAATTCGTACGTATAGATCCTGTTTTACCCCCTTAGGGGTTGAATTTTGCAAAATCCCTTCTTAGTGAGCACCTACGTTCTAAAAGGAACCCCATGCATCCATTTCAGACTCCTAGCACCTGTAGTTTCTGAGATTTTGTGATGAGTGAGTGAGTGAGGTTTTATTTGAAGGGACGCGCGCTGGTAGCTTGAAGAGTCTTTCCAGCTTCACCGGGCAGAGTGGCGAGTACAAAAGGTACTCTAGCCGTTTGGCTTTCGCTTTTATAGATATATGTAGATAGACTGCCATGAGTTGATGATGACTCACCAAATATAGTCATGGGCCTCGTCCTCTGATCCTCAGCTAGGAAGGTGGAGACCACACAGGTATAGTTTCCCGTCATCTCAGGAGTCGGAGACAGGATGTGCAGCGCCCGATGCTGCGTGTACGGGTTGTGGGACACTTTGTAGTTCAGGTTAAGCTGGAATCAAAAGATCATCATCATCATCATCATCATTTCAGCCACAGGACGTCCACTGCTGAACATAGACCTCCCCAAATGCTTTCCACGTTGATCGAATGGTAGCTACCTTTACGATGTCAATCAAAAGATAACTTGTGAAAAACATGATGCTTTTGGCGTTTGAAGCAAACATTATTTCAAATTGTGTAGGTATCCAGACAGTAGTATTGATTTAAAAGGAGCCCTGAATGTCAGTTTGATAAAATATGTTCCTTGATTAATGACTGGCTTTCGATTCTGAACTGACTTTATAAATGTTCTCAAAACTAGAAAAAATATTACAAATCTAGGTAATTTATTATTTTATCGTTCTTTTCAACCTAGTGTTAATCACGTCTAGACAAAGGCCTCCATCAAAGATTTCGACAACGATCGACAAACTATCACATTCATCCTTTTATACTGATTTAAGTACTAAAAACTATTTTATTGGTGACGTGAATATCTTTAACTATAATGGTGTGGTATTTACAGTTTGTACCTACCTATGATAATAATATGACCTTTTTACACAATGGTGCGAATACTGTTGAAATGTTATTCGCCCAACACTTCGTTACTGAAATTCTGCATCAAGTGTCAGCGTTCATAAAACGACGGAGATTGCTTCCAAATGATTAATGCCTCGGCCACTCTCCGCCATCAAATATTAATTACTACATCAAGCATTGTAATTATGTATCAGCCAGAATACGAAAGCGCGTATTGTGATGAATTAAAACGTTCGTTTGTAAAAAGGCAGATTACATTATTTATGTGACGTTAATGTTTTTGACTGAAAGAAGTTTTTGCTTGATTAATTAACGTCAATTGAGACTTGATCCCTGGTCTCTTCTCATGACCTTTGGCTTAAATTGGAAGAAATCCACTGATTCAGGTGCTAACTTAAATTATTTACACCCAGATAGTCTTTATTTTAAAAGCACTTCGCGTAAAGTGCGGTAAAATCATATGTCATCTACTGTCATCTTACATACCTACACAATTACTAACTAACTACGTCAGATATAATCTGGTGGAATTCAATTTTACCGTGAAATATCCATCTCTAGTACATAAACACATCTCTTTGCAATGAGGGCTATCGTTTTTATACTTAACAGTTGGCACCCCTGGCGATTGACAGGACCTTACTCTGCAGTGGCGCCATCTTGATGAGTGCAAATGCGATAGTCTTCCTACCACTTTCGCGCTCACCAGTTGGTGCCACTGTCTTCGCTACTAGCAAGTGACAGGACCTTACTCTACAGTGGCGCTAACTGGTGAGCGCTAAAACGATAGCCCTCATTGCTTGCCACAAATTGCTTTCAGCCTATTTATATATTTTTGTCTATCTCATGTAACAAATATTTACCTTATTCTTCAACATGCCCAAAGCCTGCGGCTTCTGCGGTGGTATCCACTGGTACACCGGCTGCGACTTGTCGTTGTAAAACCACTTGACAACTAAACCAGTGACGTTGTCGGTGACGTAATCACAGTCCATGGTGACGGAGTCCAGTGTCCCGTACTGGAACACTTCTGGCACTCGCATGTTGATTATGCGGGCTGATTGGACACCTGAAAGATATAAATAGAGGTTTTAAAAATTTCAGAAGAAAATAAAGTTTATTATTTTTGATGCCACAAAGACAATCTATGATTCATGAAACTCAAGGCCATCGAAAAACATTTCGAACATGAAGAGGAGTCGTAAGATGACAGAATGGAGTCACGTGCGTGCGCGGTCTCATGCACTCATTTAAAGATAATAGGTACTTTATTGTATCAATAGACACAATAAAGTACCTTTTCCATAGAAAACAAGCTTTATTAATAATATCAAGACTTCCAGTGTTATCAGTTTTTACTCAACGTCTTTTTTTTAACTTTCATTTAGTTAAAAGAAGAAAAAAGTAAAAATAAACAACAAAGTATAGGAAAGTTTCAGTGACTTTTTACCTATATAAAATACACCGTCAAAGCTTTCAACTGTGATAAAAGTTTGCCAATTTCATTAAGGTTCCGTAAAAAGTTCGCAAAAACGGAATCCTTATAAAATCACGAGTGATTTTACTCAACAAAAAATACTTGGTAATCCTAAAAAGTAGAAAATGATGTTTTGAAAGCATTTCTAAATTATTTTAAACTTTTCCTTTTTTAGACGCTGGCTTATTGAAATGTACGTACACATTATGTTATCTTCGTGATATCTATTTAATATGTCAAGTTTTAATTGATTCTAAAACTATTCATTTTAGAATCATAATATGTGTACCTATTTCAGTGTGCTGAACCTTTCATACGTGAGTATCCCACCCAACCGATTTTTTTATCAGATTTAAATTCAATCCCGCTGAAAAAGCCGTCGAACACAAAAAATGCATTACTATAAAACTATAAGTTACACAAAAACACAAAAGTTGCGTTTTAAAAATAAAATTCAAGCGGTTGTTTATCATCGACACAAACATCGTAATATTTCACAACAAAGTTAAATGTTATAAGCATGAAATATGCTCCGTTCATGCACTCAGCGAGAAATGTACTGAAATGCTTTTGGCTACATGTTCAGTGTTGGAACACAATCGAATGTGTTATCGATATTTAAATTCGAATAAAAGCAATGGAAGTGCTAACTACTATTTCGATTTCTATTTGTCACTTTATTTGGAGTAAAACCACCTGCAATCATGAATCGTATTCGCTCTCATTACATTTTCATAATTATCTACGTTGATATCCAGGTTATTAATATGACAATTTGCTCATTTTTTGTAACATACCTAGAGTTCAGGACATAATAATATAGAGACTTACAGGACCTAAGGCCAGGGACGAGTTATAGAGAAGCGCTTAAAATTATAAATGCATTACTTTAGTACATTTTCTATCATCATCATCATTTTGAGCCAAAGTACGTCCACTGTTGAACCACAAGCCTCCTGCTACCTTTATGAGGTCTTCGGTGACATTTTCTATACTTACTCTATCATCATTGTAGCGGTAAGCAAAAACTCTTTGCGCCGGGTATAGGCTACGGCGGTTGCGATGGTAACCGGGTTGTTGATGTCAGTAGAACGTCAGGTAGTAAAATAGGAGATTTTACAATATATTATATTTTATTCAAAAGTGACTACGTGAGTTTCCATAAGCCACGTACCCTTTATTGGTGACCCCGACGTGATCTGAACACGTTTTGAGCCATAGGACGTCCACTGCTGAACATAGGCCTCCCCCAATGATTTCCACAAGGTATGCAGCTGTAAGGCGCTGGATGCAGGCCGCCACCAACTTACACTACAGGATTACATAATTGTTTCTTGCGCTGCTTCTTCTCAGCACTGGCCCATTTATTGTCCCGAAGCAGTGGTAGGGTTAATATTGGGACGTGTAAAAGTGCTTTTTAAAAGCCTATTTGCAAAAATAAATGAGTTTTTTTAGAGAGTTTCTATAAAAGGTTAATTAGTATAATTACTATCGACATTAGACCCCCACTATTTTAATTTATCAAACGCAATCATATTTATGCAATTGTACAAAACTAAAGTTAACCTGAATTTCTCGGAATAAAGTTAAAACACCAAGGAATACTTACGCAGCTCTCAGGCGCTAAGTGTAACTGGCAGAAGTTGTTTCTATTAAGTTACTTTGCACCGTATATAGGCTTCACATTAAAATACAGACAGCAAAACAGTTTAAGCAGTGCAGTGTAGTAAGTAAGCTATTCTGCTAATACGCATTGTCAATGTGAAAGTTTGTGAATATGGATGTATAGCTGTTTGTCTCTTTTATGCAAAAACCAGGTAACTTATTTTGAACAAAATTTAGAGCTATTTTAAAGCATTAGTATTTTTGAATACAAATCACTAATAATCCCATTAACCCCTCGTGGTAAGGTAAATAATATGCTTGTGGTACGACTGGGTTCACCACAACAGTTGATACATATTTTTAGTCTTTGACGAGTCTGTTTTAATTATAATGTATGTAACTACTAAACATATTTTAAAAAGCAATTCATGACGTAATCTCTCTCATTAAATAATACAGATAGGAAAAACCTTTTACAAAAAGGTTTTTCCAAATAAGGCCGACTAATCCCAAGTAAAGAGTGTTTCCCAAAACTTCATCGACAAGCCCAAAACACGTGCAAAATTCGTATTTATCTATGTTAAACATTTTCACTCCAACGTTCTGAGGTAAAATATTTTTAGGTATTTGGCTTCCCAAAACAATTTATCACTAGAGCCCCGTGGTAATACTCGGGGACATAATATTCGACGTGATGGGTTGAATTCCGATGGGGAGGGACAAAAAAATTAAAACATTCCTTCAATGTAGGCAAAATCAATAATAACGGACGTCCCTTCGCATTAGCCTGGGCGCGCACAGCGTGGGAGGAACAGGCAGTACTTTTCAAATTAAGACACGTAATGAAATACAAATAAATAAACAAGTCTGTTTGATTAACTTATTTAAAACGTTTTTCTAAACACCCCTAAATTCATCAAAATTGATATAGCGAAGATCCAATGTTGCTGAATAAAGTTAAAGTCAAAATTTCTTTATTTGTATAGACTATTAAATAGTTCTTACAAATCGTCAAATATTTTGCTCTTAAGGAGCCTCTACATGTCTCATAATCTTTTTACCCTACCAGCGCTTCGAGACCAACATTTGGCAAGTGCTGAGAAGAAGCGCCGCAACAAACTCAGTCACCACTGTTATGACAAACCATGAATACCATGATAGATTGGATTTGTAAGAAGAGCTGGCGTAATTTGCCCAAAAAAGCTTTAACAAGTGCAAAAGTGTCAACATTTTAACAAATTCCTAAACAAATCAATGAAAAATGTCTCATATATACTTATAGTAAGAACAATAAAGATTTAGTGGAATTAGCGCGACGTAGAATTGAAATACACCTGGACAAAGCGGTGTATTTATTTGAACGAAAATACACAGCTGTGTGACCTTTTTTGGCTGTATTTTCGTGGTCCGTTGGCCAGAGCTCGTTTATTTTGTGAACGCAGCAGCACGAATTGTTTCTAGCGCGATTCAGAATATTGGACTGTATGCGAACACAAGGTCAGTGAAGCACTTGATGACCTTTAAAACCACTTATTCAGCATCATCACTATTTATTTATTTACTAAGATACTTTCACACTCAATTACAAATCGCACACCTTTATCACTCTCATCAAAATTATAATTAATACAGCATGGCTCTACTTAAGGCTTGGTATTTCTGCTAAAGTAGGTATTTCGCGCTGTCAAAATCTGCGCGCGCAATACTTCGCCGAAGACAGCGCGCCAAAGAGCTCTCGCGGCTACACAGTATAGAAATACCAGTTGGTTAGGTTAGGTTGACTTCCTTCCGTTCAAGCGTCACACTCACAGCACTTTCTTTCTAATACAAATCATATCCAAGTGATACTAATTAAAACAACTTTCAGAATTTTTGGGAATATATTTTAGAATCGAATAAATATAAAATATAACTGCCAAAGTAAACACGGTTCAAAGAGGCGTGGCGTCACCCGACCTTCCGGAATTTTCAAGATTACGTCACCCGACCTATCGTTAGGTCCTCGGGAGCTTGAGCGATTGGAAAAACATTTTATGATCAGTTACTCTTAGTAGCGATTATTTAGAGCTTGGATAATAAATTATAGTTGTTGCAATTCACGAAACTTTGCATGTGGTTAATTACATTAATCAGTACACGCATCAATTTTGTTCAGTCTTTTTGTTTATTAATAAATAAAAATATCATACTAAAATTGCATACATATTTTTTTGTATTGGTCTGGGTGTTTTCTTTCCATAATTTATGTATAACGTATGTACGGGGCTCTGTATTGAAAATCACTATGAGCATCACACGCGGTTACCTGCCGCAGGCACCCGCTCTGAGCACTCATGGGAGTTTATGCAGAGGTCGCTAGAGTTTGACTTTGAGCTTTGTTTATAGTCATTACGAAGCAGATTTTGATGGGAAACTGCACTGTCTTGAATTCGAAAGGGTAATTTGACGGTGTTAGGGGAATTCTAGGAATAAATGCAGAGCCTCCTCATTGAAATTGAGACATTTCAATTTGAGATTTCACTTGACATTGATTGCAATCTGACATGGAGTTTTCAAACACTTGTAAAAATAAAAAGTAATTAAATCAAAAGCAGTAAGACTCCCAAAATAACTTTCTACCCCTTTTACACGTTTGTCATAAATTATAATATTAAGGAATTGTTAAGCAAAATTTCAAGTAGATTGAACCAAATAATCACTGTCCCATACAAACTTTGCCCCCTTATTTCACCCCCTTCATTTCTTGACCCCATTTCGGAAAATCGGATGCCTACGTCATACAAAGAACACACCTTCCAACTTTCAGGTCTCTACGATATCCGTCAGTCATTTAGGACTAAGCATTTTTATTAGTTGTCCAATACTCTATCGTTCCAGGTATGTCATTGACAGGAGGGCGCTACTATCTTAATGGGTTATTTATTAGTCCCAACTTTATACCACTTGACATTTCAGAATCGTTTGACTTTAGATACCTAAGCGATTTG